ACGGTGAGGGCGTGGGCGTAGGCCGAGCTTGCGCGGGATGCGGCGGCTAGGGCACAGCGCGGCTCGGGGAGGCGCTGGTGGCGCGGGAGCGTGCTGGCTCGGCGCGAGCGCGGCGGTGAAGCTCAAGGGCGCGCGGGCGGGACTGTGGCGGCGGAGACGAGCTCGGTGGCTGGGCAAAGGCGAGCGCGGGTCTGCGGCGGTGGAGACAAAAATGGCGATGCCAGCGCGGAGTAGATGAGGGTTAGGGCAAACGCGCGACGCAGCGGTGGATTATAAGGTGGCCCCCATGGATCAAAAAAGGAAACGGAGAAAAGAGATCTGATGCCGCACGATTTCTACTGACCGGACGCTCCGGTTGTAGCGACCGGACGCTACCACCGAGCGTCCGGTCAATTCCAGAGAGGTCCAAATCCTCTGGAATCGTGACCGGACGCGTCCGGTGGACACCGACCGGACGCAGCCAGAGTCCGATCACCTAGCCTTGACGTCTCCATCATCGACCGGACGCTGAAGCTCCTTCTGATCGGACGCTGAAAAAACACTATTCCAGCATCCGGTCACTCCTTCGCAGCAAGTTCACCTCCTGTGAACTGACTGGACGCTGGACATCAGAGTCTGGTGCAGCGTCCGGTCACTCCTTCGGCGAATCTTCAAAATTCTTCGTGCTGCCTGTTCACATCAGTCCCAATTAGTGTTTATTTAGATCTTATTTGAGTTGGGACTTGATTGGGAACGTCCTAAACTACTCTAAGTGTCTCTTCAACTCCAATCGACACTTAGAACTAGTCCATCCTTAACCTTGTCGTCCATCCTTTAGAAACCGAAACGATTTCCATCGTAGGGGCATGACCACCTTGATTGCCCAATCGATCTCCATTACCATGACCTAACTTAATTGTCTCTGCAAAATACACGTTAGTCATAGTAATCTTGCATTGTCATTAATCACCGAAACCCAACTAGGAGCCTAGATGCTTTCATTGATAATTCAATCGATTAAAATTTTGAAGCGTACCATAAGGGAAATGACCGTTGTTGTGAAAGAAAGTTATCATTTTAGTTGTGGGTTGGATTTTGATATGAATTCAAACATGATGTTGGCACTTACCAAGCAACTCTGGTTGTAAATACACTGTTTATTTTCATTCGGTATATAAATTGAGCAGCAAACTCCTGCCGCAAATACACATTCTTATTTCTATTTGGATTCTTGTTATCTATTATATTAATCCTCGTATTATTATTTCTCAAAATTTTCACTATAATTCCTCCATTAAGAATGAACCTTTTTATGAACACGTGCGTGCCGTATATGTAGGAATTCAATTATTAAACACTTTTTTACTCATCCATCTTGATATTTTTATAGACACGTGTGTGTCGCACGTGCATGTCTACCGGTGAAGATAAAGCGCGACCAGTCGCGCAAGCCAGACCTCGTTCCCACCGCGTGTTGTCTTCCTCCTCCTGCCCACGTGGTTGTCTTCCTCCTTCAGCCCTCTCGCCCGCGGTCATCCTCATTCCACCCCGCCCTCCTCCTCGTCCTCGCCCCCGCCACCGGCCATCTCCCCATCGTGGGCCCTAGGGTTCGCCGAAGCTCTAGCAAACCCTAGCGCCCGTGGCGGCCGCCTGCTTCACCTCACACCCCCTCTCGTCGGAGCTCCACCATGGCCATGCTCGCTAGCGACGCCGGGCTCCGAGCTCCAGCCATGGCGCCCCCACCCCTCCCTGTCCCAGCCATCGCTACCACCGCTAGGCCCCATAAACTACCCGGCCTCCATCCCCACTACCTAGCTTGCCTGCCTCCCCCGGCCGGGCCCTTCTATAGCCCGCGGAGTTGGCTTCTTCTCCCTCTCCGACAACCTCCTCCTCGCCCTAGCCACTGTCGCCGACATCTTCGTCTCTGGTGCTCACAGATCTAGGAGGAGGTGGAGGCCTACCTCATCGACGCCACCGCCGAAGGGGAGGGAGGGAGGAGCTCGCCGGCTCGGGTGGGGGCGTGGGAGTGGGCGCGTGTGCGAGGTGGGCCAGGGAGGAGGTGAGCACGATCCGTCGCTTAATAGAGTTTTCGCCTTTGATTGACCAAATAGTAAGATAATACAGATTATTTTTCTTACAACATAAAGTTTAGTGTTTCATATTGTACTAATTTTATTTGTATGATAAATAGAAAATTAACATATAATTGAACATTATATATAGATTTATAGATCTGATCATAACTTGAAAGTGTTCAACATATATATAATATAAGTACTAATTGTTTGATAAAAACAATGGATATTCAATTGAATACCCTTGACTCAAAGCAGACCCCGCATTGTAGTCCGGTAGTTAGGGATAGATCAGGATGTCTAAAGTATTCGTCTGATTTAATATGGATGCTAAATGGATGTATTTGAATTCACTTTCTATGCTTCTTCTCTATACGATTTCGAATTCTTATTCAAAAAAAATGTGAAATATTCGACATTATCCATATGTGAAGAACAAAGTACCATGTAAAACTTGTATTTATGACTGATTAACACTGTAAATGACAATTATTTTAATATAACTTTTAAACTATTTAAAAGTTATTTCTATGACTAATTAGGCCAATCATAAAGGTTAAGTTTAATTTATGATAATTTCAAAACTTATATTTATGATAATTTTAATATTATAATTAGAGCATCTCCAAGAGTATCCAAACCACTCTCCCAATCTATGATTTCTGGCAGGATAGAAAAAAAATCATCTCAACAACTCTCAATCCAACCTCCCAATCTTTTAGCACTTGGAAAACCCCCTTTTACGCATAAAGATGCGCGGACCGGAGGTCGCGCGTATCCCCTCCCGTCGATCTAAATGCGCATATGGTGCGGCCCATTATAAAGGTGGAAGGCCGGGGAAAGAATAAAGAGTAGCAAAGGGTTCCTGATGCAAATGTATAAGAGATAAACAATTTAGAAAAGTAGTTAGGATAATTTAGAAATAGTATAGGATTCCTGATGTAAAATTATATTATATATTTTAGGAGTGAATTATTAGAAACTGTTGGAGATGATCTTATATATTCCTCCAATACTTTTTGGCGAATTAGAAAACTTCATGGTTTTGGAAAGAAAATATTGGGAAATCTTAGAGATGCTCTTAATGATATATAAAGGTTAAGTTTAATTAACTTTAATATGACTAATAATATTAATTTAAGTACTTTATTTTATTATAGATGAATATTATGTGTATTGAAACATTTATCTAACCCTTTGTTGATTTTTTGTACATTTAATTATAATAGAAATATTTATTTTTATGTGTTATCTACACTATCTTAAAAATATAGTAGATATCCGAATGCGAAACTAAATTTGGGATATCCATTTTGTATCTGTATTCAGATTCGAATAAAAATATGGTAAATAGTGCTGTCAGCGACCGATTCTTCATACTTCTGTTAGCTAGCGTAGGATCTGCTCCTCCTCTTGTAACTCAACTGTGTAACTGCTAGTCGCTAGTCTTCAGCTGAGCCGTGCATGCAGGTTAGTTAGAATTGATCGGCTAGGAATGATCGGCAAGATGTATAAGTACATGTACACTGAACATCGAATGAACTGAGCGTTCTATTCTCTTACAAGTGCTATCCAGACTCTGATTCCATACCAGACCAATGTGAATCCATCCCTATCGGGATAGGTAACCTCGACCTCGAGTACCAGTAGGCGCGAACAAAGATTCTATGCAGTCACTGCTGCTACTGCAAGATAAGCAGTCATTGCCATCCATGCGAGAAGGAACAGCTTGAGTGAAAGCTCCGCTTTTCCCTGTTTCTATTGAACCTCTATTGTCAGCCAGTCTTTATTGAGTAAAAAAAACAGAAAAAAGAGAAGGCATAAATATTACAATAATGAAATTAACACATAACTAGAATTGTAAATGAGCTGCAGCATTACATCAAGTTTATTTGACATGACTCACATTTGTGATTGCTCTTGTACACTAACAGAAAGACATACGAGAGCATGTGAACCAGCATGCTACTTGAAAGAGTTCACGATGTCAATTACAAAGCGGTATTTCACATCTCGATTAACAAGCCTAGCCAAAGCCTCATTGATATAATCTATCTTAATGATCTCAATCTCTGGATAGATTTTGTTCGCTGCACAGAAGTTAACCATTTCTTGGATGTCTTTTGTACCTCCAACAACACTACCCGACAAGCTCCGCGCACCTAAAAAAGCCGTTCAGGTTAAATTTAAATAATTTATTTCTGTTACCATGTTTTTTCAGTACCGTGTCAAAACAGAGAATTACCAAGAAGAAGGCTTGCAGGATGCATTTTGATCTCACTGGGAAAGCCCACTAGTGTCATCACACCACCAACCTTAAGGAGAGAGAGATATAGATCAAACGGATGGTCACCAGAAGCGGTGTCAACTATGAAGTGCAGGGAGTTTTTCAGGGACTGCAATAGCAAGAGATCATATATTCACGGTCAGTTTTCAGGTAAAGCAGAACAAACATTACTTAGCTGTTATCTTTATTCTCAGCATAAGAAAACTATCCATGGTCATATACAGAACTGGCTGCCTGGAACTTTAAAGTCAAATAGCAAAACAATGAGAAAGATAGTGATTTGCTATATGTTCCTTCCTTACGAAAATAATGTGATGTGCTTGTATCTTTGGTAATACAATGAAGAAATAAAAAGAACCCCACCAAAAGATGGCGTCATATTATCAAGAAGGCGAACACGGTATATTCCCTCCATTTCAAAATGTAAGATGTTTTATTTTTATCCTAATTCAATTTTCTCTAATTTTGATCAAGTTTATAGAAAAATATATTAACATTTACAATACCAAATAAATGCACCATCAAAACACATTTCATGGCAGATTTAATGAAATAAATTTGGTGTTATAGATACCCGTTCATTTTTCTATTAACTTTGTCGAAAATAGAGAATTTTGACTTAGGACAAAAATAAAACTTCTCATATTTTGACTTAGTACCTCCATCTGCTGTGTGTCTGATGATATAACAAAATTATCTGCTCCAAGGAGGTTGATGGCTTCATCTCTCTTTGATTCACTTGTACTCAAAACTGTGACCTTAAGACCAAACGCTTTACCAAATTTCACAGCCATGTGACCCAGACCACCGAGTCCAATGACCCCAAGTGACTTTCCAGGTTGGTTCATGTTGTGTCGCATCATTGGAGTATACACAGTTATCCCGGCACACAGAAGAGGTGCTGCCTTTGCCAAAGGGTAGCCATCGGGTATTTGGAAGCAATACCTAAAGTTCAAATTAATCAACAGAAAATGTGCTTACTTATCTGAGAAGTTGTACTGAACCAGCATCAAGGTGTCAATAGTGATTTATATGGACCTATATATTATCCTTTCATCATGTATTGATTATGATGAAAATGGATGGACAACAATAACCCAAATTTTACTCACTCATAAGAAACTACATAGCATCTTGAATACGACACAGTGTGATCAAATAGGCAAATGAAATTCCAGTGGAACAAAATACAACAGAACCTGTTTTCATCCCTAAAACTAGCTTTTATCAATATAAAAAAATCATGTTTGAGCAGCCAATTAAAACGGTACTGCCATACCTTTCATGGACTACAATGTGAGTGGAGTAACCCCCCTTTGTGACAGTTCCATCTGTATCAATGCCATTGAAAGTAAAAACTCTTTCTGGGCAGTGGTTCTCTAGAGAGCTATTGCAGTTCTCACAATCTCGGCATGAGTTCACATATGTTCCAACACCTACATGGTCACCCACTTTAAAGCCTTTGACATCTTTACCAACCTGAGTTACAACTCCAGCTATCTCATGCCTGCACAAATTAATACCATTGACAAATATGATGTTTCGGCTATGATGTTCTGTTTCCTTTGAGGGATTCAATGTATTGATTTGAAAACGCGCTTACCCAGGAACCAAAGGATATTTTGAATCATTGTGCATGTTCCGTGTCCAACCAACGTCAGCATAACAGACTCCACAGTATATGATCTTCAGCGCAACATCGCTGTTTTGCACTGCTCTGAAAATTATTATACATATAGTAGCCCTCATAAGAAGACATTATGAAAATGAAACCAATAAGCTAGCTGAACAGAAATACAAGCACTTAAATTTCCGCAATCGCATCCGACCTAAAATGCTCACCCAATGCCCCATAGTAAGCATCAATTTCATAATTTAGTTTGACAGACCACGAGCAGAAGTAGCTGCGCTACTTGCTCCACACTAGACATGCTCAGTTGAAAACAGCTATGAAACACACTGAAAACCAAACATAATAATGTACATAAAAAGGCATGGAAACAATACGGTCCATAAATATCCCAAAGAAATATGTTAGGCGTCTAGCATAGCAAGAGGACACAGAGTGATAAAAAATGATGCAACTTTTCACCAAATCAGGAGGGGGAAGCCACCTGCGGTTAAACTTGTATGGTGAGAGAACTCCAGAAGGATCTCTCGCTGCCCAAGCATTGCAGTTGCCGTTCTCTGATTCAGCAGCCATCAGAACTAAACTGCAGAATGAATTCGTGCCAAGTCAGTAAATCGAAAGAATCGGCTCTAACAGAAGCAGGGGAATTTTTTTTTCGAGAACATACTTAGCGCGTGTTTCGTTAAGAGAAGCAGAGGAAAAATTCAGATAGCCTATGCTAAATAAACTTATCGCAGTGAAATCGTTGCGGGCAGTACAGGGGAGGGGAGGAAAAAAGACTCACCTCCTGTCGATGCAGGCGCGGCAAGCAGGCTGTCGGGTATCGCTGGGATGCAATGATTTATAATGGGTTAGCGACTTAGCGGCCGACGGAGAGGTTGGCGACAGCAGTGACGTCGTAGACCTGGCTAAAACTGAGTTAATTACGGGGCTTATCGTGAGCCATGAGTTCATCGCTGATTAAACGGGTTGGCCTGGCCGAGCGGCGCATCAGCGCATGCGTCAACTCCCTTTCGCTTTCTTTGACGCCTTCAGCTAACGGGAATGGGAATATGGGATCAGGATCATATGAGTACCGTCGGGATATTCAGAATTTTAAAGGTAACATAAAACTAGTAATTATACCGGTGCCTTGTAACAGGAGAGATAAAAATACTTGTACATAAACATGCCAAAAAAAACCTCAAGTAAACGCTCATGAGCGCTTCTATCTTTTTCACAATATATAGATAGATCATTATGCTCTTATATTAGATTTTATATCATTTGCTTTATTTACTAGTATGTCTTTATTCTTTTTCTAAAAAATCTCAGGAATGTTTGTATTTTATCATAGAGGAGTATCATATATTATTTGGATTTCCAACTTAAATTTAGTATGCGTCATGTTATTATTTCTTTTCTATTGGTTTTATATATTTTTTTATTAATGATAATGATGGTACATTAGGTAATAGCAGAATAGGCAAGAGGGTATTTTGGACAAATTTTAGCTAATGATAGTAGTGGGCAATTTATTAGATGTCTATTGAAATTTTGATTTTATTTTCTTCAATTAATGTGGTAATTTCTAGACCTTGAGATTTAATATGGACCCTCTTTTTATTGACCAAATACTAAGATAATAGATTTTTCCTTTTTTACAACATAAAGCCTAGTGTTTCATATAGTACTCATTTTATCCGTATAATAAATAGAAAATTTAACATATAATTGAACATTATATCTAGATTTATAGATCAGATCATAACTCGAAAGTGTTCAACATATATAATATAATTACTAATTGTTTGATAAAAATAATGTACATATTTAATTGAATACCCTTGACTCAAAGCAGGCCTGCCATTGTAGCCTGGTAGTTAGGGATGAATTTGGATGTCTAAATATCTAAAACGTGTGATATTAATATCTGTATTTTGGTATTTGCATCCAATTTTAATAAGGACGCTAAATAGATATATTCGAATTCGTTTTCTATGTTTCTTTTCTATCCGATTCTAGATTTGTATTTAAAAAATGTGGAATATTCGACATTCTGAACGGTTAATGGTGGGAAGGCACGTTGTTTCGGTACAGAAGTACGTACAATGGGACCATCCTTTGGTAAGGTTTATAGTAGGGGCGAAGCCAAGTATTCCTTGCCAAGTGCACAGGCATCGGAGCAAACTGGCGTCTGGGTGGTTTTTCCTATCGGGCGTTATTTTAATTGATACAATCCATATAGATGGCCTAACAGTCTTTGCCTGACATATTTCTCTCCTACACCACTGCTCGTCTTCCTGACACGGCACTGGGGTAGGGCGTTTGTGGCGGGTGGCGCCGTACTCGCCTTTCTCCTTCGTCGCTGACCACCTTCCATCACTACCTCTTCTTCCCTCGTGGCCCTATCTGCATATGCCCGCCAGCAGCAGCAACGCAGGCGCGCAAGCACCAGCTGCCGCGTGTGGCCAAGCGGCCAGGAGAGGTGGTCATCGCTGGTCGGGCCCAGGCAAAGCGCAAGCGCAGCTGGTCGCTACCAGGCCACGCCACCATCCTCGCCCGCCGGCTTGCTGGAATCGGCCATTCCGCTCGCTCTGTGTTGCATCGTACTCGTACGGAAGAAGGGTGAAAACCGCATGTTGCAAGAGTATGTTTCAAGTGTTTCAGATATTTCAGAGGTATGTTGCAAGTGCTGTATATCGATGTTGCAAAAGTAGATCATGATATTGCATATGTTGTAAGGGCTATATAAGTATGTTTCAAGTTTATATTCTAAATGTTTCATCGTTCCAGACGTATGTTGTGTTTTATATGGATGTTAAAAAAGTAGATCTGGATGTTGCCTATATATACATATTGCAAACATACGTTTCAAGTGTTTTTCAGGTGTTTCATATGTATATTTTGCAAGTGTTTTATCTAGATGTTACATATGTTTGCAATGGTTTTTAAATGTTTTTCAGGTGTTTCTGCAAGTGTTTTAGACGCTTGTTTCAAGTGTTTCATTTGTCTTCTATGTATGTTACAATTGTTGCATCTGGATGCTTCAAAAGTAGATCGGATGTTGTACATGGGATGCGCGTGGGAAGCGGCTGGCGACATAGGCGACGTCCGGAGCGGCGCGAGCGACGTATAAGGCGGCGCAGTCCCACTGCTAGTGCACTCGCTCACTCCCTTTACGGGCACTGCGAACGCTGGCACCTAGATCGGACATCCCGGCGCCAGCAAGTCTGGTTGTTACAAAATAATCTACATCCTTATTCCTATATACCAAAACTTCACCGCAGCTGCCCACGTCGTCCCTATTTCCTTGCTGTCGATTTGTTCCAGTCCGTTTCCCAGCCACCGTTCGTTCTGTGAATCCACCAAGCCCACCAGCACCAGCAGTTCCTCCAACCTTCGTTTTGCCTCCAGCGGATAAACGTCCCGGCTGCCTCGCCTCGGCCAACGCTCCCACCTAGGGATGAAAACGGATCGGATACGAACGGATATCACTCATATTATATTTGTTTTCATATTTCTGTTCGGATTCGGATTCGGACACGGATAACGTTTGGATACATATACGAATACAGATTGACTCGGTTACGGATACAAATAATGAGTATTGAATACGGTATGAATCGGATTCGGAGAAGGTCGGATACAAATATCTATTCGGATATTGAGTAAAAGCAGCATATATATATATATATATATATATATATATATATATATATATATATATATATATATATATCATCATACGTGCGCAAACCATTACACCACTCTATGAGTCCATAATCCATCTAGATTAAGCCGAAAGACTATATATATATATATATATATATATATCATACGTGCGCAAACCATTACACCACTCTATGAGTCCATAATCCATCTAGATTAAGCCGAAAGACTAAAGAGTAAAGCAACAAATAAGATAAAGATACAGATACATCATACATCAAACATCATACAAGCACCAATCTTCGCGGCATGAGTAGAAATAGCCAAACTCATGGCTTCATGGGTCTCATGGAGTCATGGTCATGGATTCAAGATCTACAATCCTTATATAGGCCATTTTTTCATTTGAGAAAGTTTGAACAAAATGTAGTTCAAATTTCACAAGTGTGTGACATAGTTTTAAAAAGTCTATATGAGATTCAAGAATTTATGACTAGTGTTTGATAAAACTTTCTCAAATGGGAAAATGAGCTATGTAACAATTGTAGATCTTGCTGAGATGATCAAACTTGGTATTCAGAGTTTTTTCATCTGAGGTCATTTAGTGTCTCATTTGAGCAAGTTTGACCAAGTCAAATTTGGTCAAATGAAAAAACAACACTTTGACTCTAGTATTATGAACTCTAAATGACTTGAAATTGAAAAGTTTTGAATACCAAGTTTGTTCAACTCATTAAGATCTACAATTGTTGTTTTGGTCAACTTTCCATTTGAGATAGTTTGGACGGTTCAAATTTATTATTTTTAAATTTCGATGCTTACAAACTAGTTTTCGGAACCCTGGATTGTCTCAAATTAAAAAGTTTTGAATACCAAATTTGTTCAGCTCATCAAGATATACAATCCTTATATAGGTCATTTTTTCATTTGAGAAAGTTTGAACAAAATATAGTTCAAATTTTACAAGTGTGTGACATAGTTTCAGAAAGTCTATATGAGATTCAAGAAGTTGTGACTAGTGTTTGATAAAACTTTCTCAAATGGGAAAATGAGATATGTAACAATTGTAGATCTTGCTGAGATTATCAAACTTGGTATTCAGAGTTTTTTCATCTGAGGTCATTTAGTGTCTCATTTGAGCAAGTTTAACCAAGTCAAATTTGGTCAAATGAAAAAACAACACTTTGACTCTAGTATTATGAACTCTAAATGACTTGAAATTGAAAAGTTTTGAATACCAAGTTTGTTCAACTCATTAATATCTACAATTGTTGTTTTGGTCAACTTTTCATTTGAGATAGTTTGGACGGTTCAAATTTGTTATTTTTAAATTTCGATGCTTACAAACTAGTTTTCGGAACCCTGGATTGTCTCAAATTAAAAAGTTTTGAATACCAAATTTGTTCAGCTCATCAAGATCTACAATCCTTATATAGGTCATTTTTCATTTGAGAAAGTTTGAACAAAATATAGTTCAAATTTTACAAGTGTGTGACATAGTTTCAGAAAGTCTATATGAGATTCAAGAAGTTGTGACTAGTGTTTGATAAAACTTTCTCAAATGGGAAAATGAGATATGTAACAATTGTAGATCTTGCTGAGATTATCAAACTTGGTATTCAGAGTTTTTTCATCTGAGGTCATTTAGTGTCTCATTTGAGCAAGTTTAACCAAGTCAAATTTGGTCAAATGAAAAAACAACACTTTGACTTTAGTATTATGAACTCTAAATGACTTCAAATTGAAAAGTTTTGAATACCAAGTTTGTTCAACTCATCTAGATCTACAATTGTTGTTTTGGTCAACTTTCCATTTGAGATAGTTTGGATGGTTCAAATTTGTGATTTTTAAATTTCGACGTTTACAAACTAGTTTTCGGAACCCTAGATTGTCTCAAATTGAAAAGTTTTGAGTACCAAGTTTGTTCAGCTC